TCTTGATAATTTTCCTACAAATTATCACTCTTTTATTTATTAATATATTTTAATTTTTAATATTCTTCGAAGTAAATACAGCCCGTGCATCGCACGGGTTACATACTAGTTATTCAGAATTTAGAAAAAAAAAATGGTAGGCCTTATACAAAAATATACTCGAAAGTGTACAAGAGTGTAAAAACTCAAAAAGAACAATTATGTACTAGATCTACAAAAGCTAATTCCAAAAAATGTACACTACAGCGGGGTTGGTACCCAAAATCTGACTTCTATACAGATCTCACGGCACCATCCATGTACCTCTGGCTCCCGTCTTCCAGGGGATTTGTCCTTGCTAGCGAACGAGCTGTAAACCCGACAGTTGTGGGCCTTATTGACCTCTGCCTCACCATGCTACAGTAAACCGGATCCTCACACCACCCCTCGTGCCTTATCCACTGTATCATCCCATGGTACATCGGGAAAAACCTCATTTGCACCGCATTGTACACATAGTAAGGCACCAAAGCCGAAACAACCACAAACAGGGTAACAACGTAAAAAGACGGAGCTGGGGCAAGGCTCTCGACAAAGACCTGGTACGCGGTGCTCGAGAAGCTGGGACTCATGGCCCCGTAGGCCAACAGAAAGATGTACCACAATGCAATGCTGCCCCAGATGAAAACGTGCTGGATGAGGGTGAAGTAGCTCACGGCTAGGGCCATCTGGCAGTTGACCACCCAGACAACGCACGTGTACATGGCGGGACCCACGATCTGGTAGTCCGCGATCTTGCCCTCGCTGTTGAAGGCCTGGGGATCGAGGGCTCGTGTGGTGAGGAAGAAGATGATGAACGCACTTCCCACGCCGTTGACCATCCACCCGATTATGCGGCGCCAGCTGAAGAGCACGTTCTGCACCCCTTCTTGGTAAAGCAGAGGGAACTGTGGAATTCATTAGACTTCTGTTACTTGACGAAATGAAAGATTTCAAAATGAAATGGAATATTGTGGAAAGGCATACCATTTTACCATACCTTTAGGGAAAATCTAGGGGACACATCTTGGTCAAAGACCCCTAGAGCAACCGCGGGCAATGATGAGAAGAACACGTTGTATAGAGACAAAAACCAGTCGTTGTACGCTGGTTGTCCCGAAAACGATGTGAAAGCTTCGTACAAGAATATAGTGAAACCAAAAGTGAGGTTCTTGTAGAAAAAGTAGCAAATCTGCACAAAAAAGAACAGACGAAGAAAATTAGGATGAAGGCTTGTGTGAACTTAATTTAATATATGTTCTAGTTTCTCTTCATTGAGTATCATGAATTTACCATCGTTGATATCCTTCTGTAGCACCAATGTCCGTGCACCAGAAGCAAGCGCTCCAAGAATCTGAACTGAGCAATTGCAATGTCACTCGACATGACAGCCTGGATAAATTAACAAATGAAATAAATGGTGTTAAGTGAATAGGTTCTTGCTCTTTTCATCATAGAATGGAATTCTGAAAAATTCTACGTAGAGATTATTAAGAAATTAGATTCGGCACCTGCATCCCCTCAACGCCACTGATTCCGATCCCAATATCTGCTTCTTGAAGCATTCCCACATCATTAGCGCCGTCCCCAATGGCTAGAGTCGTCTTCTTAGTTCCTTCTTTGACAAGTCTCGTCACCTATGTAATAACAAGACAGTTGAATAGATTAGAGAGGATTCAATATGGCACAAACTGATGAAGAAAAAGATACGAAAAAATAAACACACACCAATGCCTTCTGTTTTGGTGATGAGCGGCAGCATATGACAGATGCACATCCAATTGCTAGTTCGAGAAACAAGTTTTTGACATCGTCCTCTAATGCATATGTAAGGGATTTTCCATCAATGATCACGGCAAAAGCCTCTGTGCTTGATCTGCCAACCTGAGCCTTCCCTTCGGTTATTTGCTTTATAACACTTTGCTTTGAAGCCTATTTAAACAAACAAAACAAAACGTATAAATAAAACCAAACTGCTGAATCTATGTACGTTGAAAGTTGTTAGGACTCTAATAATTTTGATCTAGTACTTCTAGTGTTCGTATTAAAGAAACCCGAATTTCTCCATAAATTTTACCTTGGCAATTGCATTCTTGTCTCCATCTTTCTCAAGTGCGTTGATCTCCGGATTATCTAATGAGATAGTAATTTGTTTCATTCCTTGTCTGAGTAAGCTACAAGCATAGCTGCAGAATTTCACCCATACAGTTAGACGATCAGTGAATTATTTCATTCCTCTTGAATTAATTAGTTAATCACAAGTTACGATGAGATATATACCCAATGTTTATAGCAGTTTCCATTTTATCCCCTGTCAAAACCCATATTTTTATCCCAGCTTGAGCAAGTTTGTCAATGCACTCAGGAACCTAGCAAAAACAACAAATAAATAACAAATAGATTAAAAAATGAAATTAAAATATCAGCATTCCCCCGAGGACTATTACGATAAGTACGTTGTTTGCATTATATAACTAACCCCTTGTTGGAGCTTGTCTTCAACAGCTGTTGCACCTAACAGAATCAAATCTTTCTCTATTTCTTCAGTCACCTCATCGATAAATGCCTCACGATCGGCACTAACTGAATTTTTGGCCTCCGAAAACTTTTTATCAAACACTTCATATTCATCTTCGCTAAGTTCCCGATAAGCGAGTATTAGGGTCCTCAAGCCTGCATCAGCATACTCGTTTACATGTTCTCTGGTTTCTTGTTCAAATTGTCTTCCGTTTTTGGCTAGTCTCTCAAACATGACACTGAAATAAATGCAAAAAATAGTTAAAAAGGCAGAAAAAAATGACAGGAAAATGAAAGTATTGTTTCTTTAAGGCAAATAAATTTTCTAAAAATTAAATGAAAGCTGAAAACTAAATCTGAAAAAAAAAAAATATATATATATATAGTGAAAAAAAAATACCAACCTGTCGGCCCCTTTGCAAAGCAACAGAAGCCTCCCTTCCTCATCTCTTACTATAACTGACATTCTTTTTCTCGAACTGTTGAATTCTAGGACATTTAACAGCTTGTATGATCTGCATGAACATACTTTATTTAGAATGCAAAGATATTGCATACTCAAAAAACTTAAAAAAAAAAAATAAATAAATAAAATGCCATTTAGGTGTGAAATACTAACATGTCCCTGCACACAATTCTATCTAAGTTTTGTCTTTTCATCGATCATTCTGTGACCAATGTTGAAGGGTATCCGAATAGTATATAACTGATATATTGTGTGTATGCGCTTAGTTTTATCGAACACTCCATTAGTTCCCAAAGTTAAGCACAAGTGCAATAAGAAAATCCCACATTTTGTATTTTGTCATAAAACCAATAAAGGAAAAAAAGAAATGGAAATAATCAAGAAGATTCTAACCTTTCGACTCTGTTTCCTGAGACAGGGTCCAACTCGTTAATGGACACGCTCGTCTGAGTCCTTCTAAAGAACTCGAACCCGAGCTCCCGAGCAGCAATCACGAATGCCGCCTCATCCGGCGACTCGGCTTCGTAGCTAACCTTCCCCGTGGTCTCATCCACATCCGGTATAGCTGTGTGGCACACTGCCAAAAGACGAAAAAACCCCTGAATCACGTCCGCATGTGCCTCCTTCACCCAATTACCATCCACAATTCTCTCGTCATCAAAGTTGTAACCCTTGATAGCCGGCTTTTTCAAACCATCGTCAGGAGGATTCTCAACTGCATCCTTCCCCTTGAGGATCAATGGTGAGCCGTTCTTCTTGGCCAAGGACCGCTCGACCTCTGTGATCCCGTGGCCGTACGCAGTCCCGGCAATCGAGCACTTGATGAATTCCATGGAGTTGCAAGTCAACGTGCCTGTCTTGTCCGAGAGGATCGTGTCCACCTGGCCCAGCTCCTCATTCAGGTTTGACGTGCGCGCGTGGGCTGGCCTGTCCGTTTCCTCATGATACATGTTCACGTCCCGGTTAATAAACATGCTCTGGAGGACCTTCACGATCTCAATCGACACGTATAGGGAAATCGGGATGAGGTTGCCGTAGAGAAGTAAAGCCGTCAAGAAGTGGAGTGTGGCGGCCGCCGGTGCTTGGTCTGGATCGAAAAAAACGTCGTCATCTTCCGGCTGCAAATACCATCTCCTGTGCCCCCCATCATCGCCATCTTCCTCGGTTACAACGCCGAAATAAACCGACCCGATAAACGCCACCAAGAAAAGCACGCCGAATAAAAAATAAATTATTCTATCCGTTTTCTTCTCGATTCGGCTCCTTTTGGAAGGCGGGTCGGTCGAGTTCTGGATCACCTTGGTGTCGTGGCCGGTGAAGATGACGGCCCCGTAAATGTAGTCCGTGTTACGCAATTTGGAGTCCCTTAATAGTAGCTGTTGAGGAGAGAGAGGGTGTTGCTGGCCTTCAAGCTCCATGGTCCCGACAAAGGAATAGAGATTGGCATTTGGGTCCTCACATTTGACGAGCGCATGAAAATGGGAGAGATCGCGCTCGTCGTTCAGGGCCGAGGTTGCCTCGAGGGCTTGTTTGAGCTTCAAGTTAGTTTCGCCGTCGAGGTTCATAGTCTCTACATAGCAAACTGCATCCTCGTAACTGGAAGATAGGAGGAGGAGATCGGCCGGGAAGAACTCATCCTTCTCGACTTTCACAATGTCACCCACTTTTAGGTTCTTCCACTCGGTTTGCTTGAACACTCCATTGCCTTGGTGGACCTTCACCTTACGGCTGTTTATCTCAATATCCTAACAAGAAAAATGGAAACAAGAAGAAGAATTTTGGAACCTGAGATTATACATTGCAATTTAGGAAATTAAAGCATTAAAACCTGTGTGTTTGACAACAAATTTTAGGAGACAAACAAAAATCCAAGGAATAAAGGCAAAGTCTTTAAGGCAAGGCTGTCATATTCATTTTGCACCAGTTTATAACTGATTGCCAAAAATACCAATCCCAAAAACCACAGATCAATTAGGCATTTCTTGGAATTAGGACACAAACAGTAAATGCAAGGATATTAAAAGCATCAATGAATGAATCTAATCTACCTGTTGTTTTCTGTGCCAGTCTTCAATGCCTTCCTTGATCATAGTTGCCCCGATAACTATAATCAACGGAAGGATTGAACTAACAGCAGAATAAGGAGCAAGAGATGTGAAAGACAGAATCCCAGTGACCAAGAAGTAGAAATTAGCCACTCTCCTGAACTGCTCGAACAGGGACTTGGGCAAGAAAGTTGTGGCCGTGTACTTGGTTGTCCTCACATAGTTCGAACCATATTGTCTTAAACCGGCATCCGCACCATCTGGCTCGTTGCAATAAACCACTCGTGAAAAACCCGGTCCGCCAATCTGTGAGTGGTCGTCTTCAACAAACCCTTTTCTCCCACATCGGAATGAGTAGATCTTACTCAGATTTAACCTCCGTTTCCTGCCATTTCCCATTCTACTCTGTGTTTATTCTCCACTAGAAATCCTCAGCTAATGCAACCCCAGATATAACTAGCTCTAGGCCCTTTGACAGTGATTAAGTTGAAATCTCACAATAAAATATGAACACCAAGAACAAAGCCCAAGACTGGGAAAAACCCAGCTGTCCAGAGAAATTTTTAAAATAAAATAATAGAGGATAATTAAAGGCTAGGCTCAGAGACCTTCAGAATATTCAGATAAACCAAAGAATACTAATAAATACACAGAAAAAAAAAAAAAATGAATGAAATGAAATCTGTAGAGATTTTTTACACAGTGGGGCTTCAGAAAAGCTGAAAAAGCTTCAATCTTTGAACTTGAACAAATGGGCTGAGTTCAGCTGAGAAAAAAATGAAAATCTGAAGGAAATGGTTTCCTCTTAAATATGTATGTTAATAATAGTGACGTGGGTGGGCATAAATATTTTTCTCTCAGAGGAAGTTGCAGAGAAAATAGGGAAAACGGGAAGAAGAAGAAAAATGTGGGAATTGGGATGGAATAATAACTAATTTTATTATTCACTCGGGCATTTGATTTTTTCTGAAGGCTCTCAAAGGCTTTGAAAATTTGACTGGGAATCTCAGGGGTGCCTTGGTTTGACTTTTCCTTATTATAATATTTGTATGATTTACGATTTTCAGACACGCCCAGTTGGAATTTTTCAAAGCTCCACCATTCGTTGAATAAAAAGCACAAAATTAATTGAAAAGGTAAAAGAAATCAAGAAAAGGAGTAAAATAAACCCCCACCCAGGTATTTTATATGTAAATCTTGCTGAAATGAAAAAGGATGGGTTGTTTTAAAATAAATAGTTGGTAACTATTTGATTGCATATGAATCATATTGATTGTATAAAATATAATAAATAATATAATATTTGTAATTGAGAGATCATGATTAAATAATTTGCTGAAAAATATTAAATTAATTTTAACAATTGCTTACGCAATTTTAAGGAATTTTACTATGCCACTAAAACAAATTAATTTATTTAAAAATTTATCACTTAATCAAATAAAAAAATATAATAGTGATTTTAGAGTAAATAACTTGAACAAAATATTTTACAATATATAATTTTATGCATAAGGATCTGTCTTCAATTCTGATTAATATAAAATGTAATGGTTTTTGTCTTAATTAACAATATCAGTTTTTAGAATGTTAGGTGCCACAAGGTATAACTTATGAGGTAAAATTTTATGAAGCCAAATTTATGAGGTTTTATTTTATGAATTGCGAGAAATTATATATATAGATAATTACAAAAAGGACATTTCAAAAAATTACTGCAAGTACAACCACTCTCTAAAATCAGATCTCTCTTTTGGGATTTGTGAGGATCTCGTCATGTACAAATCAAGAATTCAATAGCAAACGTAAACCTAAGCGCAACGAATCTAAAGGTTTGACGTAGAAAACTCACGTCATAAAATTTTCTTGGATGGTCGGGAACAGCACCTCAGAGAGTTGCCAGGATCACACGGGTGGCGGAGGTCAACGAAGTCGGACTCACAGGGCTGCTGCGGTGTCGCCGGGGTCGGATCGCGGAGGTTGCCTAGATCGGGTTGGGCTCGGCGATCGCGATCGGCGTCGGTCCGGCTGGTCGCGGTGTCGGTCAGACAGGAGTCGGTAGGTCGCGGCTCGTCGGCGGCGATCCGGCGGGTCACGACTTGTAGGCTCTGGTGGATGATCACGAGTCTCGATTACCTCGAGATCTTCTACTGTATTACTCTAACACCTCTTCAACTTGTACCGGTGGAGCAACAAGAAAAAGATAAAACTCGAACAAAAATCTAGAGAGAGAAGAGAGAGAGCGGCAGCGTGTATATAACACATTAAAAGAAATCTAATATCTTCTTCTCTTTTTCATGAGCTTAGTGATGTATATATAGAGATACAATAGGGATCCTGAATAGAACATGAATAGGGCTTCTTAAGTAATGGACTAACTGTGGGGCTGGCCCACTCTTCCAATTACTTAAATATTATTACAGTCAACTACCGTAATATTATTGCACTCCCTTTTTCTATCCCAAATTACGTTTGAGACTCCAATTATAATTAACCGAATTACCTCCCTATGTTTAAGATATAAAATCTATTAATTAATTTGATTACTGATAATCAACAATTAATTAATATATTATATTACCAAAGCTAGCGCTCATTCATTGCATTATTATTATACCAAAATTTAATCACCTATAGGGTTTAGCATAACAATCTTTCATGAACTCACTCTGGAAATATCATCAAACTAACGCACATGGTGACCGTAAATATCGTAACAACACATCATACATACAACAACATTACCCAGGACAGTAAGACTATTTATGCAGCGAACTAAATCTCACCCAAGTGAATCAAAGTAGTAAGTATTGTATGTATATGTCCATTTAATATCTTACGGGATAAGAGAACGCAATAATTAACCGAGGTCTAGTTCGTTTACGACGATCAGTATAAAACGAACTTCTTCTTTCTTGGACCCGTTCAATACATAAATGTACTAGTGCAACTAATCAATCAAGACCAATTGTACCGTTGACAATACAACCGTTCTGATGGGATGTTCATTTTCATCTAGGTTGTGAACCATAAATTCTCGTCTCACAAGTAACTGATAGAATGATCTTCTATTCACCCAATGATGACCCATTCTATCTAAGTGCAAAACAACAGAACATAGAACTTGTTCAATCGAACATGATTCTCATTCATAAAGGGCAGAAGTGTAATATCATTCAAAGCAAAGCTTTTAGTATATAACACAAACACTTCATCGGGGGGCTATAGTTCCAGTCCATCTGGACAGACCAAGGCGCGATTGGAGCCTTTCATTTGTTACACCGGTGCTCGGAAGGAGACCCGTTCAGCGGCGGGTCTCGCCCTCTGATTCTTTTCTCTGCCGCGGAGGTGGTGTCGAGTCGTTTCTCCGGCTCCAGCAGCTGGGGTTTGCCGCGCCGTGAGAGTCCGTGCTCGTGCGCTTCTCTTTTAATCCCGAATGAAGGTCATGGATGTCCGACTCTGTTCATAATTTTTCAAGAAGGCCGTGGTATGGTCGTCCGTCATTTGGCCAGGCCAACGCTCGACGGGTTACAACCTGGGTGGTTCTTCCTCGAGTCTTCATTTTGAACCCTTAGGTTTGTTCGTAGAGCCTCCTCATTTCTTTGCTGACAGTGAAGTATTTCGGAGCCCACATCTGGAGCGAGTACGGCTTCCTCGCCGGACATGTCTAGGCAGTTTGTTACAGTTTATTCGCAGTTTTTGGGTTTGGGTTTTAGATTTGTGGCTTTGTTGTGCCTTTAGCTACTATGTGGGGTCTCTAGGGTCGATAAGGTGGTCGTTTGGCTCGCCTGCTATGATTCGGGGAATGTTTTATTTTATTTTATTTATAGCGTGATTTTTTTGCTTTTGTGTCTTGTCCAACTTTGTCTGGTGTTTTTCTCCATCATGGAGTTTGCGTCTCCTTTTAGAGTTTGTTTTGTGGTTTCTTTTGGCTTCCTTGATGGAGTTTCTTTCCCTTTAAATGCCTATGTCGATTCAAGAGTGGTGGGTACAAACTTTGTTGTAGTTCCCTGGTGTCAGTTGACCCTCGATTGTATTATATTGAGTTTTGACTTATAATATATTTTATGTTTCAAAAAAAAAAAACTATAATTCTTTTATATGAATTCAAAATTACAAAAATGTGTGATGGCTTGTGATATAGCCCTAGCTGGGTAAACCGGAATAAGGTCAAGTATGGATAGGTAGACGACCAGAGGACCTAGATAGAGTCATGGCGATAAAAATGAAATGAGGAATCACAGACCATAGGTTGGACGACCTTAAAGGTTGCCGACCTAAGGAAATCAAATGACTTGAAGGATTGGACGACCCGAACAAAGGAAAGATGACCCAAGACCACAAAGTGATGACCTGAGGGATTATGATCGAGACAACCTAATATTTAAGAAAGACCTGAATAAACAGACTCACAGGAGATAAGACAGAATCTAACGAAGATATGAAGGAATCTAATGATGACTAGGATGAATTATAACTATAATAAAAGAGCCAACCTCAGCTTCAGAGGCCGACCTCGTAATTAAGCAATAAAAGATTGTTTCCTTCGTAAATTACTATATCTTTACTCGTTTCATCATTCGCAAGTCTTTTATTAACTATTGATCGATTCCGATCGTCAACAAATATATATATAATATTTTTTACAATATATATCCTTTTTTTTTTTACGCAACGATGATAAATATTATTAACTAAAAAGAAGAAAAATATTACAACTACTGCCCTCCCTTAGAATTACACAAACGACCAAGGGGACTAGACAAACACAAAACACTTACAAAGACAACATAAAACACATAAAGAAAGCTCCTCATAGGAGACTACAACACTCCAGAAGGAGACCATACACTCCCATAAGAGGAAACTAACAAAAAATAATAGAAAAACACAACAAACACAACCGACAAAAACAAAAACAGAACAAACAACTAATAAAATAGAATAGTACCACCCATACTTCTCGTGAGCACACGAAAAAAGACACACAACCCAACACACCGACCATCCCACAAAACTAAAAACAACAAGAGAACTACCGAACTAAAACCCACAGATCTGAAAACTCAAGACTTGACTAGAATGTCTAGTCAGATCTGGCAAGGAGAAGAACTCAAGACCAGATCTGATCCTCAAGAAGATTCAAGTCAGAAAATAGGCAAAATGAGAAAGAACTCTTGAAGCCTCACCGAAAGAGTGGCAATCCTTGGCCCTAGCTCAAGGCTGGAAAAAAAGGACGAGGCGAAGGAGCCCTCGAGGCCCCTGTGTTCAGCAATACATGCTTGGAGGAGAGGCGAAAGCCACCCGACCTGGCCTAGTCCGTAGTCGGAGACGTGGATCAAAAGACGACGACGACAGAGAGGAGGGGGGTTACCTGAGTATTTTTCCTGCTACAAAAG